GGGAGAACCCCAAAATTCCCCCCAAAAGATCCCAAAATCCTCCCCAAAGACCCCAAAACCACCCCAGAGATCCCAAAATTTCCCCCAAAGATGCCAAAATCCCCCTCAGAGACACCAAAACCACCCCAGAGACCCCAAAACCACCCTAGGACCCCAAATTTCCCCCAAAGACCCACCCAGAAACCCCAAAATCCCCCCAGAGACCCCAAACCTGCCCCAAAGACCCCAAAATTCCCCCCAGAATCCCACCCAAAGACCCCAAAATCCTCCCCAGAGATGCACCCAGAGACCCCAAAATTCCTCCCACCCCAGAGACCCCAAAATCCCCCCCATAAACCACCCCAGAGACCCCAAACCTGCCCCAAAACTTCCAAATCCCCACCAGAGACCCCAAAATTCCCCCCAAAGACCCCAAATTCCCCCAGAGACTCCAAAATCCTCCTCAGAGATCCCATAATCATCTGCAGAGACCCCCAAAACCACCCCGAAACCTCAAATTTCCCCCAGAATTCCCTTCTGGGCCCTCTCTAAGCTCCCCTAAACAGGCAGGAGCCCCCAAAATGGGACAGAAGCCCCCCAAAATTGGGAAGATACCCCCAAAAATGAGGCAGGACTCCCCAAAATGGGGCAGGACCACCCTCTCCCACTCACCTTCAGGGTTGGGGGTCCTGGGAAGGCTCCCCCGACGCTCTGGGGGGGGGGGGGGAAAGGGAGGGTCAGTGATAGTGGAGACCCCCCAAAATCCCCAAAAATCCCCCCAAAATCCCTTCCAAATCCCCCTAAAATTCCCCCAAAATCCCCCAAAAAAAACCCAAAATTCCGCAAAATCACCCCAAATCCCCTCAAAATCCCCCAAAACCCCCACAAAACTCCCCCAAAATCCTCCCAACCCCCCCAAAATACCCTCCAAACCACCCCCCCAATCTCCCAAAAATCCCCCCACCTCCCCCCCAAAATCACCCCCAATATCCCCCCAAAATCTCCCAAAACTCCAAAAATCCCCAAAAATCTCCCCAAAATTCCCCCAGGACCCCCCCCAAAATCCCCTCAAACCCCTCAAAACCCCCCAAAATCTCACCAGGGCCGGGGGGTGGGGGAGGGGGCAGCAGCTGCTTCTCTGTGGGGGGACAAAATGGGGGGGTCAGAGGTGGGGGAGGGGCGGTTTGGGGGTCCCAGGAACATTTTGGGAGGGTCCCCAGAGGAATTTTTGGGGAGTTCCCAGCAGATTTTGGGGCATTTTGAAAGGGGATTTGGGAGGGTTCTGATGCAGTTTTGGGGGTCCCCAGGCTCATTTTAGGTAGTCCCAGGTGCATTTTGGGGTCCCCCAGGTGGATTTAGGGGCTCCCCAGGTGCATTTTGGGGAACCCAGGTATATTCTGGATGTTCTCAGGTGTATCTTGGGGGTCCCCAGGTGCATTTTTGGGGTCCCAGGTGCATTTTGGGGAGGGGTCTCTCACCCGCGCGCTGCTGCCGCCGCCGCAGCCTCTCCTGCACTCGGCCCTCGAATGTCGCAGCCTCGGCCTCGGAGGCGAAGTTCAGCCCCGCCCACCCCTCCTGAGCCAATCAGGAGCGGCCGTGGGCAGTCAGGCCCTGCCCACTTACCCAGAACCACGCCCATGCTTACCCAAACCACGCCCACTTTCCATTATATGGCATTAACTTATTAGCCACACCCACTAATGGAAAGCCACGCCCATTCCCCTTATATGGTTATGTGTTTATACCTATCAAAGGCCACGCCCACTGACAGTCACGCCCATTTCCCCTTAGATGGTCATGCCCCATGTACACAGACCACACCCATCAATTGAAAGCCACGCCCATTTCCCTTATATGGTTATGCTGCATTGACACCTGCCTATCAAAGACCACGCCCACTGAGAGCCACACCCCTTTCCCTTATATGACCATGCCCAATGTACACAGGCCACACCCACACAAAAGACCACACCCATATATGACCACGCCCACTATCTAGACCACGCCCCCACTCCACATTGGCCCCACCCATAGCTCTGCATTCCTTTGGCTCCACCCCAAAGCCACACCCATTTAAGCCCCTCCCCCTTTACCACACCCATAATGGCTCCTCTCCCCTCTAGCCCCACCCAAATTTAGCCACGCCTCCAAGCCACGCCCTTCCCTTGGCCACACCCCCAGCCCCGCCCACTCACGTGGCTGACGAAGGTGTGGAAAAAGGGGGTGGGGGTCTTGTAGCCCATCCCCCCCTGCAGCTCCTGCTCCCACCACAGCTCCCCGGCCTGGGGGGGAGATCTGGGGTCACGGACCCTCCTGGGGACCCCCAAAACCCCTTAGGACCCCCCAGAAACCCCCCAGGACCCCCCACCCACTCCCAATGCCATTGACCTCCCACCCACCCCAAGATTTTGGGGATTCACCACTGGGATTTGGGGACCCCCTCAGGATTTTGGGGTCCCCCCAAGATTTTGGGGTGCCCCCCTAGGTTTTGAGATCCTCTTCGAATTTGGGGTCCCCCCAGGGATTTGGGACCCCTCCTCAAATAAGAGGAAGATGATGAAGCAGAACCAGTGAGGGCTGGTCTGGACTCACCCCATTGGGTTTTAGGGACGCCTTAGGATTTTGAGGACCCCCCCATAATTTTGGGGAACCACTCAGGGATTTTAGGGTCCCCTCCGGGGATTTTGGCCCCCCCCCCCCAGATTTTGGGACCCTGCTCAAATAAAAGGAGGATTATGAAGTGGAAGCACCAGGATTGTCCTGAACCCACCCCCCTCAGGAATTTTAGGGACCCCCTAGAATTTTGGGGTCCCCCTCAGGAATTTTGGGGTTTTGGGGTTCTCCTCGTGAGGGATTCTGGGGTGCCCCGGACTCACGGGCAGGCGGAAGATGCGGATGAAGTAGGAGCGCCGGGGGCTGTCCCGGACCAGGCAGGCGACGCCGCAGCCCCGGAGGCTCCAGGAGCCCCCCGAGACCCCCCCGGGACCCCCCGGGAGCCCCCCGGGCTCGGCCACCACCAGCTGCACCACGGCGGTCACCAGGGTCTGCGGGGACACGGGGTGGGACACATTGCACCCCAAAATCCCACCTGGGAACCCCAAAATTTCCCAAATTTCCCTCCCAGAGACCCCAAATTCCAGCCCAGGAACCCAAAATGGCCCCAGTAGAACCCAAAATCCCCCAAGACCACCCCAAAATCCAGCCCAGGAGCCCCAAAACCCCCCAAGACTGTCCCAAAAAGCCCCAAGAGACCCCAAAATCCAGCCCAGGGACCCCCAAAATGGACCCAGAGAACCTAAAATCCCCCAAAACTGCCCCAAAATCCATCTCAGAGACCCCAAAATCCATCGCTGGGACTCCAAAACCCCACCAGAGACCCCAAAATCCAACCTGGTACCCCAAAATCAAGCCCAGGAACCCAAAAATCCATCCCAGAAATCCCAAAATCCAGCCCAGGGACCCCAGATTCCATCTCAGAGACCCCAAAATCCAGCCCAGACACCCCAAAATGGCCCCAGAGAACCCAAAATCCCCTCAGACTGCCCCAAAAAGCCCCAAGAGACACCAAAATCCATCCCAGGGACCCCAAATCCATCCTCAAGACCCCAAAATCCAGCCCAGGGACCCCAAAATTTAGCCCAGAGATCCCAAAATGGCCCCAGAGAACCCAGAATTCCCCAAGACCACCCCAAAATGCTCCGAGAGAACCCAAGATCCATCCCAGAGAACCCCAAACCCCCCTCAGGGTTTTCCTAGGACCCCAAATTTACCACCCCAAAACTCTGAAATCCTCCCCATCCCACCCCAAACCCCCCCATTTCCTCTTCCCTGTCCCTCCCAGTTCACTCCCAGTTTCCTCCCAGTCCCTCAAACTCCCCCCCAGACCCCCCAAATCCTCCCCATCCCACCCTAAAACCCCCCCAAATCCCCCTTGAATTCCCCCAGTTGCCCACCAGTTCCCCCCAGTTTCCTCCCACTCCTTCCCAGTCCCTCCCAGTTCCCCCAGATCCCCCCCAATTCCTACCCAGTACCCCCAGTCCCTTTCCAGTCCCTCCCATTTCCCCCCCCAGTCCATCCCAGTGCCCCCCACTCCCCTCCCAGTTCCTTCCCAGTTCCCCCCAGTTCTCTCCCAGTCCCTCCCAGTGGCCCCAGTTCCCCCTCCCAGTGCCCTCCCAGTTTCCCCCCAGTCCATTCCAGTCCCTCCCAGTCCCCTCCCTTCCCCTCCCAGCTCCCCCCCAGTTTCCCCTCCCAGTGCCCCCCAGTTCCCTCCCAGTCCCTCCCAGTGCCCCCCCAGTCCATCCCAGTTTGTCCCAGTCTCCCCCATTCCCCTCTCAGTCTCTCCCAGTTCCCCCAGTGCTCCCCCAGTGTCCCCCATTCCCCTCCCAGTTCCATCCCAGTTCCCCCCCAGTCCCCCCCAGTCCCTTCCCAGTCCATCCCAGCCCATCCCAGTCCCCCCATTCCCCTCCCAGTCCATCCCAGTTCCCCCCCAGTCCCCCCCAGTCCCTTCCCAGTCCCTTCCCAGTCCATCCCAGTGCCCCCCAGTCCATCCCAGCCCATCCCAGTCCCCCCATTCCCCTCCCAGTCCATCCCAGTCCCCCCATTCCCCTCCCAGTCCATCCCAGTCCCTCCCAGTTCCCCCAGTCCCTCCCAGTTCCCCCAGTTGCTCACCACGCATTTCCTGCCCAGCACCTCGAAGATCCTCAGGTTCTCCTGCTCCCCCAGCAGCTCCGAGGGGACGTTGTCCCCCCCCTGACGCCCCCCTCGGCTCATCCCCCAATTTAGGGACACCCCAAAAAATCCTTAGGAACCCCAAAAATCCCCCTGGGAACCCCAAAAAAACCCCAAATCCCCCCCCCAAAATCTGCCTGGGAACCCCCAAAATCCTCCTGGGGATCCCAAAAAACCCCTGGGACCCCCCCAAAACCCCTCTGGGACCCCCCAAAACCACCCCGGAGCCGCCCCCCAAAAATCTCTGGGTGGCCCCGAAGCCTCTTCCGGCCGGAAGCACCCAAAGGTGGCAGGGACGTCACCTCCGGACTGGGGGAACTGGGAGGGACTGGGGGGGCTGAAAGGGGAACTGGGAGGGACTGGGAGGGACTGGGGGGCAACTGGGAGGGACTGGGAATGAACTGGGGGCACTGGGAGGGACTGGGAGGGAACTGGGGGCACTGGGAGGGAACTGGGAGGGACTGGGGGGGCTGAAAGGGGAACTGGGAGGGACTGGGAGGGGATTGGGGGGGACTGGGAGTGGAACTGGGGATACTGGGAGGAACTGGCGGAATTGGGAGGGAATGGGAAAGGGAACTGGGAGGGACTGGGGGCACTGGGATGGAACTGGGTGAGACTGGGATGCACTGGGAAGGGATTGGGGGGACTGGCAGCGAACTGGGCAGAACTGGGGGGGGACTTAGAGGGAACTGGGAGGGACTGGGGGGGGGCGGAAAGGGGAACTGGGGAGGGACTGGGAGGAACTGGGAGGGAACTGGGGGCACTGGGAGGGGATTGGGCGGGACTGGGAAGGACGGGGAGGGACAGGGGGGAACTGGGAGGGACTGGGGGGGGCTGGAAGGGGGACTGGGGGGGAAACAGGGGATACTGGGAGGGTCTGGGGGGGCTGGGAGGGACTGGAGAGGGAACTGGGGGCACTGGAAGGGACTGGGGCGGCGGAAAGGGGAACTGGGGAGGGACTGGGAGGGGATTGGGGGGGAACTGGCGCCACTGGGAGGGACTGGGAGAGACTGGGGGCAACTGGGAGGGAACTGGGAGGGACTGGAATGGACTGGGGAGGACTAGGAGGGAGTGAGGGCAACTGGGACGGACTGGGAGGGGAACTGGGGGAAACTGGGAGGGACTGGGAAGGCATTGGAAGGGACTGGGGGGACTGGGAGGGACTGGGGGGGCTGAAAGGGGAACTGGGAAGGAACTGGGGGCAACTGGGAGGGGATTTAAGGGGCACTGGGGGAGACTGGGGGAACTGGGAGGGACTGAGAAAGGGAACTGGGGACACTGGGAGGGACTGGGGGGGTGCTGGGGGGCTGGGGACACTGGGAAGGGAACTGAGAGTACTGGGAGGGACTGGAGGAACTGGGAGGGAGGACTGGGGGACTGGGAAAGGGAACTGGGGGAACTGGGAGCACCCTCAGCCAGCGCTGGGAGCAAACTGGGAACAATGGGAAAATCCCAGTCCAGGCCCCGCCCCTGCCCACGCCCTCCCGGTTCATACTGGGAACTCCCCAGTCAGTCCCAGTCCATACTGGGACAACACAACCTCTTCCCAGTCCATACTGGGAACTTCCCAGTGCCACCCAGTCCATACTGGGAACTCCAAATTCCCTCCCGGTCCATACTGGGAACTTCCCAGTCCCACCCAGTCCATACTGGGAACCCCAAATTCTCTCCCAGTTCCTCCCAAACCATACTGGGAACTTTAATCTCCCTCCCAGTCCCTTCCAGTCCATACTGGGAGCCACAATCTCCCTCCCAGTCCGTACTGGGAACTCCAATCTCCCTCCCAGTCCATACTGGGAGACCCCAATTCCTTCCCAGTCCATACTGGGAGCTCCCAGTCCCTCCCAGTCCATACTGGGAACCTCCAACCCCTTCCCAGTCCATACTGGGAGCCCCAGTCTCCCTCCCAGTCCATACTGGGAACCCCAAATTTTCTCCCAGTCCATACTGGGAAGCTCCAACCCCTTCCCAATCCATACTGGGAATATCCCAGTCCCTCCCAGTCCATACTGGGAGCCCCAATCTCCCTCCCAGTCCATACCGGGAATATCCCAGTCCGTCCCAGTCCACACTGGGAGCCCCACCAGTATCAGGCGTGGTTTATTGGCGATTCCGGCACCTCTGGGACCCCCCCGGGACCCCCCCCCGGGCTGGGGGGGGAGGGGCAATAAATAAAGGGGGGGGAGGGGAGAAGGCACCCAGGGTGGGGGTGGGGCAGGAACTGGTTTGTACTGGTCCATACTGGGAGAAGGCCTGTGGGCATCAACACAGCACTGGGGGGGCGCCCTACCGGTCCATACTGGTCTGTACTGGTCCGTACTGGGAGCACGCAAGGCCACGCGGGTGAGGAGAGCTCTGGACTGGTTTGTACTGGTCCGTACTGGTCCGTACTGGTCCATGCTGGGAGGACCCAAGGCCACGCCGGTGAAGAGCTCCCAGTTTGGCTGCCAAACTGGTCCATACTGGTCCATACTGGGATGGCTGAAGGCCATGGCAAGGCACTGGTCCGTACTGGTCCGTACTGGTCCATACTGGTCCGTCACAAGGCGATGCATGTGGGGGGCTCCCAGCCCCTTCCTGCTCCATACTGGTCCATACTGGTTTGTACTGGTGCGGCCCAAGGCAATGCAGATCCAGGAGTCCCCAGGCGAGTGGTTGGTACTGGTTCATACTGGTTTGTACTGGGATGTCCCACGGTGGTGCAGAACCCAGCAGGGTGGCGCACTGGGCTGTACTGGTTTGTACTGGGAGGGGTCTCTGGGGATGTCATGGGGAAACTGGGGGTCCCTGCTGACCCCAGGGCAGCCTTGGGGACCTCATGGTGGCCTTGGGGACATGTGGTGGCTTTGGGGTCCCCAGGGACCCCGTGGTGGCCTTGGAGTCTCCTTGGTGACCTCATGGTGACGTTTTATGGTGTCCCCAGGTTGTCCTACAGACCCTGGCAGTGACCAAAATCTCCCCAAGGTGACATCAGGACCTCCTGGAGATGTTCTATGGAGTCACCACCTCGTCCTACAGACCCTTTGCAGCCTCTCATAATGACCTCAGAACCTCTCTGAGATGTCCATGGGGTCACCACCTTATCCTACAGAACTCCAGTGCCTTTGAAACCCCTCACAATGACCTCAGTGCAACTCTGAGATGTTCTATGGGGTCACCATGTTGTCCTACAAACCCACAGTGATTCTGGAGCCCCTCACGAGGACCCCAGGACCTTTTTCAGATGTTCCATGGGGTCACCACCTTGCCCTACAAACCTCCAGTGACTTTGAAGCCCCTCACAATGACCTCAGGCCCACTCTGAGATGTTCTACGGGGTCACCACCTTGTCCTACAGACCCCGTAGAGCCCCTCATAATGACCTCAGATCCTCTTTGAGATGTTCCATGGGGTCACCATGTTGTCCTACAAACCCACAGTGACTCTGGAGCTCCTCATGATGACCTCAGAACCTCTTTGAGATGTTCCATGGGGTCACCACCTTGCCCTACAGACCTCCAGTGACTTTGAAGCCCCTCATGATGTCCTCAGACCAACTTTGAGATGTTCTGAGGTGTTTTATGGGGTCACCATGTTCTCCTACAGGCCTCCAGTGATTTTGGAGCCCCTCGTGATAATCTCAGAACTTCTTTGAGATGCTCTGAGATGTTCCATGGGGTCATAACAAACTCTTTGGAGCCCTTCATGATGACCTCAGACCCTCTCTGAAATGTTCTATGGGGTCACCATGTTCTCCTACAGACCTCCAGTGACTCTTGAGCCCCTCATGATGATTTCAGTCCAACTCTGAGATGTTCTATGGGGTCACCATGCTGTCCTACAGACCTCCAGTGACTTTGGAACCCCTCCTGACAACCTCAGAACCTCTTTGAGATGTTCTATGGGGTCACCACCTTATCCTACAGACTGAAAGTGACTTTGAAGCTCCTCATTATGTCCTCAGTCCAACTTTGAGATGTTTTATGGAGTCACCACAGCGTCCTACAGACCTCCAGTGACTTTGGAGCCCCTCGTGATAATCTCAGAACTCCTTTGAGATGTTCTGAGATGTTCTACGGGGTCACCATGTTCTCCTACAGACCTCCAGTGACTCTTGAGCCCCTCATGATGATTTCAGTCCAACTCTGAGATGTTCTATGGGGTCACCATGTTCTCCCACAGACCTCCAGTGAGTCTTCAACCCCCCACAATGACCTCAGCACCTTCTGCAGATGTTCCAAGATGTTCTACAAGGCCACCACCTCACCCCTCCACTGCCCTCACCTCTCCCACCCTCTCTCCCCCACGTCCCCCACCCCTCTGGCATCTCCTGCACCTTCCTCCGCGTCCCCCTTACCCCGAGGGCGGTCCCGCCGGAGGTCCCCCCGGCGCGGTGGCCCCCCAGCCCTCGAGGTACCTGGCGAAGAGCGCCTTGGCGCGGCGCAGGACGCGCGGCAGGTGGTGGCGGCGCACCAGGCGGTCGAAGTGCATGGCCACCTCGTTGTAGTCGCCGCCGCGCGCCATCACGGCCTCGCGCTGCTCCAGCAGCATGGCCAGGCACACGAAGAGCAGGAACGGGTTCCCCTGGCCCAGCTCTTCCGGAGGCGGCAGCGGCGCGCCGTCGTCCTCCACCGTCACCTCCTCGTCCGAGGAGGAGGAGGAGGAGGAACACGAGGAGCACGAGGAGGATGAAGAGGAGGAAGGGTCTTCCCAAGCCCAGCGGCCGCCCCAAGGGTCGTCGGGGGTGGTGGGGTTGTGGCGGGCGGTTCTGGGGGGGCGGTGGGCGTCGGTGAGGTCGTGGTGGACGTGGTTGGTGTGGTGGTGTTCGTCCTTGGGGTGGTGGCGGCCGTGCCTGAGGTCGTCGTGGTTGTCCTTGGGGTCGTGGTGGTCATGTCTGGGGTCAGCACGTCCTTCCTTGGGGTCATCGTGACCATGTCTGAGATCATCACGTCCTTCCTTGAGGTCATCACGGCCATCCCTGGGGTCACAGTGGCCATGTCTGGGGTCATCATGTCCTTCCTTGCGGTCATCATGGCCATCCTTGAGGCCATCCATGAGGTGGTCATCCCTGGGGTCATGGTGGCCATCCTTGTGGTCATCATGGTGGTCACAGCGGTCATCCTTGGGGCTGTTGTGGTCTTCTCCAAAGCTGTGTCCTTCTCTGAGATCATCATGAACTTTGAGGCCATCATGATTCATCTCAGAGTCATCTCCTCCTTCTCTTGGGTCATCCGGTCCCTCTTTGGGGTCACCAAATCCCTCTCTGGGGTCACCTCGTCCTTTCCTGAGGTCACCTCGTCCTTCTCTTGCGTCGTGTCCCTCTCTGGGGCCACCCTGTCCTTTTTTGGGGTCTTCTGCAGCCCCCCAGCAGAGGCTGTGGGGTCTCTGCTCCATCTCCAGGGCGTCGGTGCCTTCCTCCACCTTCCTGGGGCCACCTGGCTCCGAGTCCTTGGAGCCCTCGGGGGCTCCTCCAGCACCCCTGGGAGGTCTCCCCTGGACCTTCCTGGAGCTCTTGTGACCTTTGGGGACATCTCTGGAGCTCTTGTGACCTTTGTGGACATCTCTGGAGCTTTTGTGACCTTTAGGGACATCGCTGGAGCTCTCAAGACCTTCCTGAATGTTCTTAAAGCTCTTGGGACTCTCCAGGCTGTCCCTGGGACCGTCGGGGACATCGCTGGAGCTCTTGGGACTCTTCTGGATGACCTTGGAACCTTCTAGAACATCACTGAAGCTCTTGGGGCTCTCAAAGACCTCGCTGGAGATCTTGGGACTGCTGGGGACATCTCTGGAGCTCTTGGGACCCTCTGGGCTATCACTGGAAGTCTTGAGACCCCCAGGGCTACCACTGGAGCTTGTGGGACCTTCTGGGCCATCGCTGGAGCTCGTGGGACCATTGAGGACATCACTGGAGCTCTTGGGACCACCTGGATCATCACTGGAACTTGTAGGACCCTCTGGGCCATCACTGGAGCTCTTGAGACCTCCTGGGATGTCACTGGAGCTTGTTGGACCCTCTGGGACATCGCAGGAGCTTGTGGGACCACCTGGATCATCACTGGAGCTCCTGCCACCCTCAGGTCCATCACAGGAACCCTTGAGACCCCCAAAACCACCACCAGCACCGTCCGTGACCGCTCCACCACCTTCTCCTCGACCTTCCTCCTCCTCCTCCTCCACGTTCCTCCTCCTCCTCCTCCTCCTCCTGGGCGGCCTCGGCCGCAGCCCCCGCCGCTCCCTCAACGCCCGCCCGGCCCTGCGAGCTCCCAGGGGGGCTCCGAGCAGCGGGACCCCCTCGGGGGGCGGCGGCGGCGCCGGCGGCAGCGAGCTCCAGGTGATCTCCAGCACCTTGAGCGCGTCCTCGAAGGCGAACTCGCGCTTGAGCTCCAGCAGCAGCCAGCGGTAGCAGAAGAGGAGGTCGTGGGCGCCGCGCGCCGCCAGGAAGGCCCAGAACTGCGGGTCGGCGCGGCGCAGCAGCCGGCGCAGGTGGCCAAAGGCCCGCGCCAGCCCGCGGCCGCCGGGGCGGAAGCGCGGCGCCAGGCGGCGCATCAGCGAGCAGAAGCACAGGAAGGCCTGCGCCTCGTCGTCCAGCACGGCCAGCAGCGGCGCCGCCACGTCCGACATGCCCTGGCAGTAGGAGAGGCGCGGGTGGCCCAGCGCGAAGGTGGTGAGCAGCGCCTGCAGCGCCGCCAGGTGAGGGTGGCCCTCCTCGGGGCCGCCGAAGTACGGGTGCGCGCGGTCGGTGCGCACCACGTCCTTGCGCACGGCCGCCGCCACCTGCGCCAGCTCGGCCGGCGCGGCGCGGGCGGCCAGCGCCACCTTCAGCGAGGAGTACTCGGCTGCCTTGAGGCGCAGGTGGGACAGGCGCTCCTGGCCCGTGAGGCCGGTGGGGAACACGTTCAGCAGGTAACGCCACACCACCTGTACAGGGGCAAAATGGTGACAGGTGAGATCAGGAACACGTTCAGCAGGTAACGCCAGACTACCTGTACAGGGGAATGGGGACAGGTTCAGCAGGTAACACCACACCACCTGTGTGGGAGGTTATGGGACAGGTTCAGCAGGTAACACCACACCACCTGTGTGGGGGGTTATGGGATAGGTTCAGCAGGTAACACCACATTCAGTTCAGCAAGTAACGCCACACCACCTGTACGGGGCAAAATGGTGACAGGTGAGACACTGGGAACACGTTCAGCAGGTAACGCCACACCACCTGTGTGGGAAGATGGGACAGGTAAGATCAGGGACAGGTTCAGCAGGTGACACCAGACTACCTGTACAGGGGAATGAGACAAGTGAGAGATCAGGAATCAACAGGAGAAACATCACGAACACGTTCAGCAGGTAACGGCACACCACCAGTACAGAGGAATGGGAGAGGTGAGGGATCAGGGACAGGTTCAGGAGGTAACGCCACACCACCTGTGTGGGGTAAAATGGCTACAGGTGAGCACAGGAACACGTTCAGCAGGTAACGCCAGACTACCTGTGTGGGAAAAAACATGGACAGGTGAGGGATCAGGGACATGTTCAGCAGATAATGCCCCACCACCTGTAAAGGGAGATATGGACAGGTGAGATCAGGAACATGTTCAGCAGGTAATGCCAGACTACCTGTGGGGGGAGATAGGGACAGGTGAGATCATGGACAGGTTTAGCAGGTAACGCCAGACTACCTGAACAGGGGCAAAATGGGACAGGTGAGACACTGGGAACACGTTCAGCAGCTAACACCACACCACCTGTGCAAGGAGATGAGACAGGTGAAATCAGGGACAGGTTCAGCAGGTAATGCCACACCACCTGTACAGGATGGAATGGGGACAGGTGAGAGATTAAGGACAGGTTCAGCAGGTAACACCACACCACCTGTGCAAGGGGAAATGGGACAGGTGAGGGATCAGGGACAGGTTCAGCAGGTAACACCACACCACCTGTGTGGGGAGATATGGACAGGTAAGGGATCAGGGACACGTTCAGCAGGTAACACCACCTATACAGGGGGAATGGGACAGGTGAGAGCAGGGACAGGTTCAGCAGGTGACACAAACAGGTGAGACCAAAACACGTTCAGCAGGTAACACCACACCACCTGTATGGGGGAAACGGGGTTAAGGACAGCAAGAACTCTCAGGTGTTGGTCAGGATGGATCTGAAGATCCCCAGGTGTGGCTGAGGTGACATCAGAAAACATCAGAACCCCCAAGGTGTGACTCAGGTGTGACCAGACCACCCCAGGTGTGACCAGAACACCTCAGGTGTGACTCAGGTGTGACCAGACCACCCCAGGTGTGACTCAGGTATAATCACAACCACCAGGTAAGGCTCAGGGAGAACTCACAAGGTGTGGCTCAGAAGACCCCAAAGTGTGGCTCAGAGGACTCCAGGTGTGACCAGAACCCCTCCCAGGTGTGCTCCAGGTGTGACCACAGCCCCTGAGATGTACCCCAGGTGTGACCACACCCCCCCAGTTGTGTCCCAAGTGTGACCATACCTCCCAGGCATACCCAATGTGTGACCACACCCCCCAGGTGTGTCCCAGGTGTGTCTCTGAGCTCTCACCTTGCGCAGGCCGGGCTCGACGCCGCCGTGGAAGACGTGCAGCCGCAGGTCCTGGGGCCGCAGCAGGCGCCCACCTGGGCCCAGGTACAACCTCAGGTCGGCGTCGCTCAGGGGGGCGCAGGGCGGGGGCGGGGGAGGGGGCGGGGACACGGCCGGGGTCCCCTCGGGCCACGCCAGGGCAGCCTGTGCCCGTGCCAGCGTCCGGCCCACCTGTGGGAACAGCACAGGTGACACTGGGAGGGCACTGGGAGGCCCAAGAGGAGCTCGCTGTGAGCTTCCAGCAGGGTGGGGCATTCCAGATGTGTCTCACCTGTGCCAGGTGTGCCTCACCTGTGCCAGCAGAGCCTGGGTGAAAGGCAGGGCCGCCGCCAGCAGCGAGCGGCGCTCGGGGACCGGCTCGGCCGCCGCCACCTCGCGCGGGCTGATGATGTCCCAGTCCTCCAGCAGCGGGCCTGGGGACAGCACACCTGAGCCACAGGTACCTGAGAGCCGTGGGAGCCCCACCTCGCACACCTGGGCACCTCCAGGGACCCAGAGCCTCCTGACACCCAGCTCAGGTCACCGAATGTCCCCAGTGTGTGTCCTCAGATGTGTCCTGTCCCACCCAGGTGTGTCCAGGTAAGTCTGTGACTTCCCCAGGTGTGTCTCAGGTGCATTCCAGGTGTGTCCCCAGTACCTAGGGCTGCCCTAGATGTACCATAGGTGTGTCACAGGCGATCTCTCACACTTAAGTGTGTGTCAGGTAGGTCTGTGTGTGTCCCAGGTGTGTCTCCACCCATCCAGGTGTATCCCTGGTGTATCTCAGGTGTGTCCCAGGTGTATCTCCACCCACCCAGGTGTATCCCAGGTACGTTTCCACCCACCCAGATATATCCCAGGTGTGCTCCAGGTGCATCTCCACCCACCCAGGTGTGTCCCAGGTGTATCCCAGGTGTATTCCATGCATGTCTCCACTCCCCCAGGTGTATCCTAGGTGTGTCACTCACTGTCAGGGGGGTTCCTCACATCCAGGCGCAGCCTCAGCGTGGGCCGGGCACAGTTGAAGGCGTTGGCCAGGTCACCATCGCTCAGCAGAGGCACAAAGGTGTCCTGGCCCTGCCCGTCCCGCGCCGCAAAGCTCAGAACGAAGCTTTTCTTCCTGAGGGGACACAGGTGAGCTCACCTGGGGGCTCTGGGGGGTCCCAGGTGTGCTCAGAGGAGGGAACCAAGGCGTGGGGGGGGGTCCCGCTCACCCCTGCAGGTCAAAGGCCCGGGCCAGGATGTGCTGCAGCACGTCCAGCGAGGTGATCTGTGGGTCCACGGCAAACGAGCGGAACTCGGGCGGCTGCTGCCCCTCGTTCTTCTGCGGGAGGAGTGTCAGGGGGTCTCAGGAAGGTCTCGGGGGGTCCCGGAAGGTCCTGGAGCCCCCCGGCCCTCACAGCGATCCAACATGGCGGCGCAGCACCGTCCCCACAGCAGCGCCGCGCCCCTACCGCAACGCGGATTGGCCACCGCCTCCCATGTGACCCGAAAGGCGGGAAATTTTCCCGCCGGTGCCACACCCGAGCTGATTGGCTGCCGGAGAGCACGTGACCCCACCCTTTAACCCCGCCCACCTCCGCTGATGACATCACCACACCCAGGCGAGGCCCCGCCCACATGCACGCCACGCCCCTTACCTTGACGCGCACGCGCACAACCTCGCACTCCTCCTCCAGCGCGGCCCCGACCCCGCCCCCCGGCGAGGCCCCGCCCCCCGCCGTCGCCGCCATGTTGGGGCGGGGTCTCGGTGGGGGTTGGGGGTTCCGAGGGGGTTTCGCCGCCGCCGCCGCCCCCCCGAGCCGGGGAAGCGGAGGGCTGGTGTTACGTCACCGTGCTGACGTCACGCCGCGCCCACCGGCCGGACGGTGCGCGGTTCTGTGGGGGGGATCCGGAGCCGCGCCGCGCCCGTGCCCGTCCTGCGGCCGTGGCCGCGGCAACAACATCCGGGGCAGCTGGCGGAAGTGACGTCACGGGGCGGGCTCTGCCGGCTCCGTTCCTCTGACGACGTCACCGCGCCCCCCCCCTTTCCCAACGCAACGAAATGACGTCACAGGCAGCGATTCACATCGGGTTTATTGGGGAGGAGAGGGGGGCGCATGCGGGACCCCCTTAAACGGGCAACGCCACAGTGGGGACCACGTCCTCCTTAAAGGGGAAACGCCGCGGCGGAACCACCCCCAGTGTTAAAGGGACAACGCCCTCCAGGAAGCCCCACCCACCATTAAAGGGGCAACGCCACATAAAGAACCGTCCGGACTTAAAGGGGCAATACTGGAGGGGCCCACCCCGTCCTTAAAGGGGCCACGCCTCCCCCGCAGCAGCGCCCCGGCCGGGGGGCGGAGCCTGCGGGGGGGCAGGGGGCGAGGCCCCGCCCACCAGGAGAGGCCCCGCCCCTCAGGGGGGTCCCTGGGGGGCCGCCTGTTCCTTCCTGAGCTGCGCCAGCTCCTGGGACAGCGACTCCAGGTCCTGGAAAGGGAGAAATGGGGGAGGAAGAGACCCACTGCATGTGACCACGCCCTCAACGTGGCCACGCCCACCGCTGAAACCCCTTCCACTTCAACCCCCCCTTTCATGTCCATAAACTCAGTGATGTCATCGCTTCTGCCACACCCCCTAACTTACACCACGCCTCTTGTTAATCTCCACCCCATTAAGCCACACCCTCATAATTTGGCCACACCCATTTTCAACCACAGCCCGTTTAGAGGCCCCACCCCTTTCCCACAAGCCACACCCCTATAAGCCACACCCTCACCCTTTTAGCCACACCTCTTCCCAGAGACCACACCCATTTCGATAAACCACACCCCTTTAAGAGGCTCCACCCCTTTCTCACAAACCCCACCCCTTTAGGCCCCGCCCCCGCTGGACCGCCCCCTGACCTGTGCCAGGTGCAGGTTCTTGGTCAGCTGCTCCTCCAGGAGGTTCTGCAGCTTCTTGTTCATCTCCCGCAGCCCCTCCTCACCTGGGCCCGGCCCCGCCCCGCGCCGGGCCGGCCCCGCGGGACCCGCGGCCTCTGCAGGTGACAGGTGAGGGACAGGTGAGGGACAGGTGAGAGTGGGACAGGTGAGGGACCAGAGGTGAGATGGGACAGGTGAGAGGCAAGGGAAAGGTGAGGGACAAGTGAACCTGGGACAGGTGAGGGACAGGTGAGAGTGGAACAGGTGAGGAACACGTGAGGGACAGGTGAGGGACAGAGACAGGTGAGGGTCAGGTCAGGGGCAGGTGAGAGGTGAGGGACAGGTGAGATTGGGACAGGTGAGGAGGGGACAGAGAACAGGTGAGACTGGGACAGGTGAGGGGATAGGTGAGAAGGATCAGATGGGTGGGGACAGGTGAGGGTGGGACAGGTGAGCTGACAGGTGAGGGAGGTGACAAGTGGTTGGGGTGCCAGGTGAAGGTACAGGTGAGGAACAAGTGAGAGGAGTGCCAGGTGAGGCTCAAGTGTAACAGGTGAGGGACAGGTGTAACAGGTACAGGTGAGCCCAGGTGTAACAGGTGAGGAACAGGTGAGGCCCAGGTGTAACAGGTCAGGGACAGGTGACCCGGGTGCCTCACCTGTGCGGCTGTCCCTGACGAAGCTCTGGATGATGGCGCTCTTCCTGCACAGATCCTCGGCCATGGACGCGCTCGACACCTCCAGGTGCCTCACCTGCCCGGGGAGCTGCAGGTGAGCTCCAGGTGCGACCCCCCCGCCCCTCCCAGTCCCTCCAAGTTCCTCCCAGCTCCTTCCCAGTCCCTCCCAATCCTCTCCCAGTGTCCCCCAGTTCCCTCCCGGTGCTCCCAATCTCTCCCAGTTCCCCCAACACCCCTCAATCCCTCTCCCAGTCCCCCCAATCCCTTCCCAGTTCCCCCCCAGTCCCTCGCCAATCCCTCCCAGCCCTTCCAACCCCCCTCAATCCATCTCCCAGTCCTTCCCAGTGCCTCCCACTCCCCCCAGCCCCCTCCCAATCTCCCTCCAGTCGCTCCCAGTGCTCCCAGTCACCCCCCAATCCCGTCCCAGTCCCCCCCAGTCCCCCCAGTTCCCCGGTACCTTCTCCTCCAGCAGCCAGCGCTCCTGCTGGCTCTGCGCCAGCCTCTGGAACAGCTCGGCCACCTCTGCTGGGGACAGGCCCCCCCCGGCCGGGACCCCCCCGCCGCTGCCCGCTGCCGCCCCCGGGGCTGCCCGAGCCCGACTGGCGGGGGGCGGGGCCGGGGGCGGGGCCACGGCGAGTCAGACCACGCCCAACAGAGCTCCATCCCCCACCATGAGGTTCATTCATAAAGGAAAGGGGGAAAATGGCCACGCCCACATGGGGAAGGGACAATAAAACACATCCACGTGGGTCACAGCTAGGCCGCGCCCGCAGTCAAGCCACGCCCACTAAGACACACCCTCATAAGCCACACCCCCATTGGGTGCCGCACAAGCCACGCCCCCAAATCAGACCACACGCAAATTTGGTGTGCTATAATTAGCCACACCCACTTAAGCCATATCCCCATTGGGTCACACCCAATTAAGCCACAACCCAAAATAGCTGGGCTCTAATAATCCACACCCACCAAGCCACACCCTCATAAGCCACACCCCCATTGGATCACACCCAAGCCACGCCCAAAATCAAGCCACACCCAAATTTGTTGTGACCTAATTAAGCCACACCCACTCAAGCCACACCCCCATTGGGGTACAGCTCTTTAAGCCACACCCCCAATCACCTGTGTTCTGGTTAAGCCACGCCCATCCAGCCACACCCTCTTAAGCCACACCTCCATTGGGTCACACCCATTTAAGCCACATCCCAAATTAGCTGTGCTAATTAAGCCACGTTCAGCCAACCACACTCTTATAAGCCACACCCCCCATTGGGTCACACCCAAGCCACGCCCACAATCAGGCCACACCCCAAATTAGTTGTGACATTAAACCACGCCCACCCCACCCCCGACCACACCCTCTTAAGCCACACCCCCATTTCGTCACACTAATTTAAGCCACACCCCAAATTAGCTGCTTGGCTAAGCCACACCCACCCAGCCACCCCCTCTTAAGCCACACCCCTAAAGCCACGCCCACACATGGTAACACCCTCAACTAGCCCTCAAGCCACACCCCTAATTTTTACACCCAAAATAAGCCACGCCCTAAAGAAACCATGCCCTCTTAAGCCACGCCTTCTCAGAGCCACACTCAACTAAGCCACACTCCCGTTTGACCCCATTAAGCCACGCCCACAGCCACACCCACATTACTTCACGCACACAAACCACGCCCATTCCCACCTCCTTTTCCTGAGACCACAACCCCTTTTGCCTAATCCCCGCCCCCTCCCTGATGCCCCGCCCCCTCTCTGAGGCCCCACCCACCTTGGTGCTGCCAGGGGCGGAGCCGTCACGGCCCAATGAGGACACAGAGCTGCTGTCCCCGCCCGGGCCCCGCCCTGGGGAGGAGCCTCCGTCCAGCCCCAGCTCCTCCAGCCCTGCAAAGGGAACCCCAAAATCCATCAGGGACCCCAAAATCCATCTGGGACCCCAAAATCCATCAGGGACCCCAAAATCCATCTGGGACCCCAAAACTCACCTGGGGACCCCAAAATGCACCTGGAGACCCCCAAGATCCCATCAGGGACCCCACCCAAATTTCAGAGTCCTCTCCCCCAGTTTTTGGGGTCCCCCTCCCCAAATTCCGGAGTCCTCCCCTCCCCAAATTTTGAGATTCCCCCCTCATATTTTAGGGTTCCCCCCTCCTCAAATTTCAGGCTCCTTCTCCCCAAATTCCGAGGTCCTCTCTCCCAGTTTTTGGGGTCGCCCTGACCCAAATTCCAGGGTCCCCCCTCCCCAAATTCCGGGGTCCCCTTCCCCAATTTTAGGGGTCCCCCTCCCCATAATTCTGGGGTGCCCCCTCCCCCAATTTCGGGGTCCCCCTTCCCAATTTCTGAGTCCCCCTTCCCCAATTTCGGGGTCTCCCCTCCCCAAATTCCGGGGTCCCCCCCCGCCAATTTTGAGGTTCCTCCCCCACCTCAAATTTTGAAATTCGCCCCTCATGTTTTGGGGTTCCCCCCAACCAAATGTTGAGGTTCACTCCCCCAGTTTCAGGGTCTCCCCCTCCCCAAATTCCAGGGTCTCCTTCGCCAGTTTTTGGGGTCCCCCTTCCCCAATTTCAGCATTGCCCCTCCCCAAATTTTGGGGTCTCCCTTCCCCAAATTTTGGGTTCCTCCTCCTCAAATTTTGAGGTTCACCCCCCCAAATTCCGGGGGGGTCCCCCCTCCCCAAATTCTGGGGTCCCCTTCCCCAATTTAGGGAATCCTCCCTCCCCAAATTTTGAGGTTCACCCCCCCAAATTCCGGGGTCCCCCCCTCCCCAAATTTTGAGATTCCCCCTTCATATTTTGGGGTCCTCCCTCCCCAAATTTCAGGCTCCTTCTCCCCAAATTCCGGGGTCCCCTTCCCCAATTTTAGGAGTCCCCCCTCCCCAATTTCGGGCCCCCCCCCCCCCCCTCAAATTCTGGGGTCCTTCCTCCCAAAATTTCAGGGTCCCCCTTCCCAATTTTTGGGTTCTCCCTCCCCAAATTTTGAAGTTCACCTTCGTCATATTCCGGGGTCCCTCCCACCCAATTTTTGGGGTCCCCCCTCCCCAAATTCCAGGCTCCTTCTCCCCCAAATTCCGAAGTCCTCTGTCCCCAAATTTCGGGGTCCGCCCTCCCCAAATCCGGGGTCCCCCCTGACCCGAGCGGGCCCTGCTGGGCACCAGCAGCTCCTGCAGCCGCTCCTGCAGCCGCTCCCCCCGGCGCCGCTCCAGCTGCAGCTGCCTCCGAAGGTCCTTCAGCTAAAAGGGGGAAATTTTGGGCTTTTTGGGGATGTTTGGGGAACCCCCAAACCCCTGGGGGGGGTCCCCAAAAGTTTCGGGGTGTCCCCAAAGCGCCCCCGGGGGTCGCTCACGGCGGCGCTGCCTTTCTTCTCCAGGATGCGCTGCCCGTCCCGCACGTCCTTCAGCTCCTGCGGGGATTTTTGGGGAGGTTTTGGGATTTTTGGGGGGGTTCTGAGGGATTTTTGAGGGGTTGTGTCAGGGATTTGGAGGGGTTGCAAAGGGATTTGGGGTGATTTTTGGGGGATACAAGAAGAATCGGGGGAGTTTTGGAGAGGATTTTTCAGCTCCTGAGGGGACTTTTGGGGGTTTTTGGGGGTCCTGAGAGGGATTTGGAGGGGTTTTAAAGGGATTTGGGGTGATTTTTGGGGGTCACAATGGGATTTTTTCAGAGTTTGGGGGGGGGGATTTTTCAGGTTCTTGGGGGATTTTGGGGATTTTTGGGGGTCGTGAGAGGAATTTGGAGGGGTTGCAAAGGGATTTGGGGTGATTTTTGGGGGTTACAAGAAGATTTGGGGGAGTTTTGGAGGAGATTTTCAGCACCTGGGGGGATTTTTTGGGGGTTTATGGGGGATTTAGGGGGGTTTTGAGGGATTTTGGGGGTCATGAGAGGGATTTTGAGGGGTCACAACTGGATTTGGGGGGATTTTAGGGGATTACAAGAAGATTTGGGAGAGTTTTGGGGTGTTTCTCAGCTCCTGGGGGGGGGTTGGGGGATTTTGGAGCCGTTTTAGGGGATTTTAGAGCCATTTTTGGGTGATTTTGGGGCTGGTTTTGGGAATTTTGGGGCTGTTTTGAGGCTGGTTTGGGGCCGTTTGGGGGGATTTTGGGACTGTTTTGTGGTGTTTGTGGCCGTTTTAGGGGATTTTGGGTCCGTTTTGGAGGATTTTTGGGGCTGTTTTGGGGGATTTGGGGTCCCACCTGTCTCAGGGCGCGTCCCTCGGCCTCGTGCAGCTCCCGCAGCCGCTGCTCCTCCCCCAGCGCCGCCCGCAGCTGCCCCAGCTCCTCCTGGGGGGACATTTGGGGACAATTTGGGGACATTCGGGACACTTGGGGACATCTGGGGGACATTTTGGGGACATTTACGCCAAAAATCTCCCCAAAAATTTACCCCAGATTCCCCCAAAATTCACCCAAAATCCCCCAAAAATTACCCCAGATTCCACCCAAATCTCCCCAAAATTTAACCCAAATTTCCCAAAAATTTACCCCAAATCTTCCCAAAATTTAACCCAAAACCTCCCCATATCCCCCCAAATTTACCCCAAACCTCCCCCAGAATTTACCCCAAATGCCCCCAAAATCTCCCCAAAACTGACCCCAGATTCCACACAAAACCTTCCCAAATCTCCCCAAAAAAATGTCAAAAATGCCCCAAATTTCCCACAAAATTTACCCCAAATCCCCCCAAAATTTACCCCAAATTACCCCAAAACTTCCCCATATCCCCCAAATTTACCCCAAATCACCCCAAAATTTCCCCCAAATCTCCTCAAGATCCCCCCAAAATTCACCCACAAATCCTCCACATTTTCCCCAAATTTTATCCCAGTATCTCCCAAAATCTCCCCAAACTTACCCCAAATCTCCACAAAATTTACCCCAAAATTTACCCCAAAATCCCCTAAAATTCATCCCAAATCCCCCCAAATTTACCCCAAATCCCCCCAAAATTCATCCCAAATCCCCCCAAATTTACCCCAAATCCCCCCAAAATTTCCCCAAAATCTCAAAATCCCCCAAAATCCCCCAAATTCCCCCCAAACCCCTCTCACCTCGAGCTGCCCCCGCTGCTGCTCCTGCTCCTCCCGCAGCCGCTCCTGGGGGGCACAGGGGGGGGATTTTGGGGGGTCCCCGATGTTTGGGGGGGACCCCAAAGTGGGGAGGGGTCTCGGGGGTGGTTTTGGGGTCACCTGGGCGGCCTCGGCCTCGTGCAGGCGCTGGCGCAGCTGCTCCCGCTCACCTGAGCACACCTGGCACCCCAAAATGTCCGTGAGAACCCCAAAATGTCCGTGGGAACCCCAAAATGTCCGTGGGCACCCCAAAATAACCATGGAGACCCCAAAATGTCCATGGGCACCCCAAAATAACCATGGGCACCCCAAAATGTCCATAGGAACCCCAAAATGTCCATGGGCACCCCAAAATGTCCATGGGCACCCCAAAATGTCCGTGGGCACCCCAAATGTCCGTGGGCACCCCAAAATGTCCATGGGCACCCCAAAATGTCCATGGGCACCCCAAAATGTCCGTGGGAACCCCAAAATGTCCATGTGGGCCCAAAAATGTCCATGGAGACCCCAAACTGTCCGTGAGCACCCCAAAATACCAATGGGCACCCCAAAATGTCCATGGGCACCCCAAAATGTCCGTGGGGACCCCAAATATCCATAGGGACCCCCCCAAAATCCCAAAAACCACCCCCAAGACCCCAAAATGCCCATGGGAACCCCCCAAAAAACCCCACAGAACCCCCAAATCCCCCCGAGGATCCCAAAAACCCCCTGGGAACCCCAAAATAACCACAGGGACCCCAAAATGTCCATGGGCACCCCAAAACATTCATGGGGACCCCCAATTCCCCCCCAGGAACCCAAAACCTCCTGGGACCCCCAAACCTCCCCTTGCCAGGACCCCCAAAATATCCCTGGGGACCCCCAAAAGCCCCCCCAGGAACCCCCAAATTGCCTAGGGCCCCAAAATCTGCGTGAGGACCCCAAAATATCCACGGGGACCCCAAAACCCCACCTGGGACCCCAAAATCTGCTTGGGGACCCCCCCCCCCCCAAATTCCCCCCAGGACTCCCCCAAATCTCCCCCCGAGGACCCTCGGGACCTCCCAAAAACCCCCAGGACCCCTGAATTCCCCCAGGATCCCCCCAAATCCAAGCTGGAATTGACCCCAAAGTCCTCCAGGACCCCCCAAATCCCCCCAGGACCCCCCAAATCCCCCCCAGGACTCCCCAAATCCCCCCAGGACCGCCCAAATTTCCCCCCAAACCCCCCAAACCTGCAGTTCTCTCTCCAGATTCTCCCTCTGGCTCCGGCTGTCCTGCAGCTCGCGGGCCTGGGCCTCGCTCAGCTCCCGCAGCCCCCCCTGGGCCTGCCCCAAAAACACCCCAAAAACAGCCCAGAAACTGACCATAAACACCCCAAAAACCACCCTAAAACCACCCCAAAAACAGCTCAGAAACAGCCCAGAAACTGACCATAAACACCCCAAAACCAGACCATAAACACCCCAAAAACAGCCCATAAATACCCCAAAACCACCCCAAAAACAGCTCAAAAACACTCCAAAAACATCACATGAACAGCCCCAAAACCACCCCATATACACCCCAAAACCAGCCCATAAACACCTCAAAAAAAACCCAAAAACCACCCCAAAACAACACCAATAACACCCCAAAAACAGCCCACAAACACCTCAAAACCTCCACAAAAACCA